GGAGGGGACCTGGGAAGGGCTATCCTCCTGGTCCTGACTGCATTCGAGCAGGCCCCATTCATCAAGCATCTTTGACTTTCCGATCTCTGGTGGTAAGAACCGTTCTGCGTGAAACATTCAATTTAGAGGCAATGTCCTTCCAACGTTGTATGTGGATTCTCTTAGATTAGTGCTCTGAATTGTTGTTGTAAACACTATATGGCCGCCCACCACTTCCACCATCTTCAAAGCCCTCATCCCTAATACGATATTCCTTGCACCACTTCAGCGTATTATGTACTTTCACTCGTCAATGCAGGCCTAAACGCTTTCTTGATATCTCGAGCAATTTCCGCCACATTCCTGCCCTCATTGAGATGGGAGAATAGTGAGAATCTGACCCTTGTGTTTCTACCGTAGTTAGAACGATAAAGGATAATCTTCGCCGTTGATCAATCCCTTTGTGGGATGCGGCACGCATTCTACTTCCATTCAGAATCGTAGTGGCTTATTGAATGCGATGTGGCCTATACAATGACTTGCGGTGGCCAGCCGATGTACAAGTCAGTGTTTTATCCTCCCAGACGAATCTGGTACCAATTTACCGTCCCGGAGGGTAGAAGGCTTGGTTGGCCTGGGCGGGTCGACCCGGGATTCGAACCCGGCCGCGCGAGTGTGGTAAGTCCCCTGCGCACTTGCCATAATCAGCGGTTCCATCCGGAACAATAATCGTCGCAATCTCACAAAAAGGCAGTGTGTGAAAAAGAGGTAGTTGAAACTTGTGGTACCACATAACGCAGGTTTTTCTTCACGACGTGAATGCATGCCACGGCCTGGAAAGGTTTTGATTGAATGTTCTTTCTTTTCAGCATCAAAGAAGCGCAATCCAGTCAAAGGGTGGACAAATTAACAGGCAGCTAATAAGCAGCAGAAACAATCGCAAAGCTAGGGCACTACAATTGTTGCCGAATACGAACGGCAGCGGGGATTCGATGGAAGGCTATACTTGTTATTGGCTTTATTTTGCATTTAATGAAAAATGTACGATCAACGCGACTTTCGGGAGCCTTTTTCTTCGCCCAAATGGGTGCTCTCCCAAAGCTGAACTGAGCTCCAACCATCTGCAAAAGTCACTGCAATCCTTTCAAAAATGCAATGTAGGAGTTGGCTTCAGCTAATCATATCATTGCGCAAATCTCAGCTCCTGCGTAAGTTAGGCCTCTCTAGTTGCCACCAGAAGCGATACTGCCCTTCCCAAAGGTTGAGGACAAGACCCTGCGCTCAACCAGCGTTAAAATCCTCCCTTGCCGAAGTAGTCCGGTCAGTAGCTGCAAAGATTGTCCAACGTGGGCGAGGAAGGATTCCTTGGAGTTGGTTGGGCGCCTTCAGGGTCTGTCTTCAAGAGACATAGGAAGGACGACGTTCATCTCGATTATTGATTCTCCTCTTTCATTGCTGTTATGAATGAGCTGATTGAAAAATCTCAAAATTTCCCGGAGAAAGAAGCGTTCCATGACGTATTTCAGCATTGTGCTATGCTTAGGAGAGGAAGAAGAAAAAAGGTAAAGAATAGTGGGCAAGGGAGCGCGCTATTCAGAAATGCAAATTTCAGCGCAAAATCGTGGCAAATTGAATTTTGGCAGGAAAATCGTTGTAGGTCGATGTGCCCAACGTCAGCATTCATTTCCTTTTGCGAAGGGCTAGCACACGTCAGTTTCGGGGTACATCATCGTCCACACAAGGGGATGGGCTATATTTAGTAACTATGGAGGGGTCATGTCTGAGTAACCGAGATTTTTCCATGTTATCTTGGATTTTCGAGTTCGCTGTCCACTTTTTTTACCATTCCAGCTAATGTGAAGGGAGGGGCTATTACAGAATATAAAGGTGCTGTTACGTAGAAATTCTCCATAGCCTTATGAGATACACTGCATGCATAGCTACTCTCCCCCTCATCCCACAACCAATGCAAAATCAGAATATAATTTCAGCCTAATTTTAAGGTTTTAGGCGTCTATCGATTGGTCGAAATGCAAGGTGAATCATCCGTCAATTACGCGCGAAATGCTCGGTGACGGATGGGCTGAACATCTCGATCCGTCTGAAGTTGCGTCAGCAGAATATTCGAGGTGAGCTTAAATAACGCCAGATGTAAAGGAAAACCCGAATCGCAAACACTTTTCCTATCTAGAGCCTATGATGCAGCAAAGCCGCATGTGGTATCTCTGCGGAGAGATGAGCGCAAGAATCCTGCCGTATTCTTTGAACCACCATCGGGGCTCACAATTGTAGGGGAATCCTGTGACGGAAGAGGGTGAAGGCGGTGCACAGCATCGTTGGAAGAATCTCATCGGCAGGTCGTACTTGTTTGGTGGGAAGGGAGATCCTAGGTGCTATTCGGGCGGGGGGGGGGAGCATTTTGCACTTCTGCTGCTTCACTTGTTCGGGTTTACAAGTATCACCTCTGATGAACTGTGATTCATACTTGCTGAAGCTTGGGAGCAAAACTCATCCAGACCACTGAATATACCTGTCACCCCCCCCCCCCCCCCATTCATCAAAGGGGCCGGCGCTCAACACGATCGATGCTCCCCCGTTGCCGAACTGCGCCGAGATCCTATCTGGCCATAAGAAAAATTTTCCCCAGTTGAGAGGTGAATACGGTTCTTCACTCCTCCCTTTCATCGCGCGCAATAATTATCGCCTTAGTATATACTCACTAGTACCGCAAAAACTACATGTGCAACTATTTTGAAAGTGGCTCGGCGGCACGCTTTCGTTCAGTTCTAAAAATTTTAGTAAAGACTGTGAAATTAAGTAGAGGTTGGAAGAGGCTCCAAAGAATTTGCTGAGATGGCAGACAAATTCAGGAAACGATGAGGGAGGGGGTCGTACTGGGAGAGGAAGACAGAGGGAGTGATCGCCATGACGTCACCACTTCACCCATCCGATGCTTAGCCTGCGTAGGGGTCGCTGGAGGGGACCTCCATTATCGTGATGGCCGTGCCTTATCGACTCTACCAGCATCAGTACATACTTCAGGGTTAATCAATTGATTTCAGTGTTGATCGTGCAAGCAGTCTTTCACTGGAAGCGTTCTTATCAATCCAGACTCGCACCAACTTACGTCAGTCCGCGTGGAAAGTCTTCCGCCATCTTAATGAGTTAATTTTGAGCTATATCGAATTAGTCGCCAAAGCGACTGCGCCGAGTCATTACGTTTTTTTCTTCTCTTTTTTCGTAAAATATCCACACCTGATGGCTTCCAGTGAAAACTAACAGTTTTCCGGTATAATTTGAATTCGATTGTACCTTCCATGGGACTAAAGCATTTTGATTCGACGGGAAGGCGATAAAAATCGATAGCAATTAAAACCGTGCTCTTAGTTCTCTTATGGTTATTACATTGAATCGGCTGAAATTTAAGCTAAGACTCACTGCTGTCACAAAATGGACGTTTCCCATGCAGTCCAGGAAAAAGGGATTAGTTCCCTTTTTGAAGCACCTTTCTGGAACGGATGATGGAGCTCCCAGTACTCACATGAGGGAGCTCCTCAGAGCCTACTCCTTGTCCAATCGGATGCCCACTAAGCAATTTCGTTGCAGTGACATTTCGCCTATTATCCTGGCAGCTCAACTGAATCAGTTCGAGATTCTTCAAATGTTGCTCAGAAAGGATGCACGAATCGAACGACCACATCGGTAAGTGCCAGACGTTTATTCATGAGCGATCCATTGGGAGGTTTTTACCGTTTTTACTTCCAGGTACTCCTGCATTTGTGAAACGTGCGATCGTGAACGACTGAACGACTCGCTACAGTACTCTCCTGAAGCGGATCAATACCTATCGGGCACTTGCCAGTCCGGCTTGGATGAGTCTCACCAGGTATACTCCGGCGAATCACAGCTCAGGTTTCAAGGAAGGAAATAAAGGAAAAAACAATATAGTTGGTACATATAAGTGAATGAACAAATGAATAACAAATAAAACAGAAGCGAAATTTTGCATATATTGGGCGCACATGGGAAGAAAACAGTTTTTCTCACCATAAGTGTTACCTAAAGACATATTCTGCGATAGTCAGGTGGGCGGAGTTTGATAGAGGCCGCACCATCTTCTCCTTTTACACTTATCCAATTGCGTCTTCATGTCACTGTCTCTACCGTTTGTTCATCCAACCACTGAGGAAGACACAGTGGTTCCGTGAGCCTGCGCCAATTTCTCCGCCCATCCAGTTGTCACGGAATGAGTCTTTAACCATTTTTTCCTTTACAAAATAACTCAACGTTCTTTCAGCCCCGATCCCATCCTTTCCGCATTCAAACTTAGCTGGGAGCTACAACATCTATCAGCAGTGGAACACGAGTTCAAAGAGACGTATCTTCAGGTGAGAGTGCCAAGTGAAAGGATTTCTTTGAATTCCAGTTGCTTGGAAAAGCAGATTTCAAGCAAATCTCAGAAGAAGGGCTGCTAGAGGGGTCCTCAGCGGCTTTGGCGCCATTTCTTTTGCGTTTTCTCTTCACTTACTGGTCCCGTGGCAACTTCTCTCCCATATTCGAACACCACTGCCTACGCTTCCTGGGAACCGGATCATGCGTTCAAGCGAAGAGCACCATGTAACCCACAACGCGGTGGCCAAGTTTACTTTTAGGGGTCAATTATATGCGGGACATCTGCGCGACATGAAGAGCAGTACTGGGAAAAAAAAGAAAAAAAATAATAATAAATGAATAATAATCGAAGAATGATCTGATTACAGAATATCTTTATGTTTGATCCCAAGCAGTGCATTAGTATTAATTTTCACCTCTATGGAGATGATCTGACAAGCACAAGACAAAAGAACTCAGCCTGATGTAAAAGGAAAAATTCCTCAAAAATCGGGAATTTTTCGACTGGAAGTTGTCATTCGCGCACTCCCCTTGTTCTCAGGAACGTCACTTTTTTTCGATAATTGAAGAAAAAAACAGCACTACAAAATCCGAATTAATATGATTTTCATAATTTCAGCTTGCTGAACAATGCAAGCAATTCGCATGTGATCTTATCAGTCAGCGCCGGAGTAGTGCGAAAGGAGGTGAGTCGAAGCTTTGAGTTTTTTTCCTGCGTCAATACTGAACATATATTTATATTAGTTCCTTACTTAGTCTGACCCTTTTCCAAATTGTTTCTGTTCGAAGGTGATAGCAGTACTGAATAAGGATTACAACACTCACGATGAAAATGTCGACGTATGGGCGTCGAAGCTTAGTTTATCGCGTCTGAAGTTATGCATTCAAAGTACGAGCAGCAAGCGTGAGTTGTCGTCATTTTTCAAGATCTTCAGACCTGACCCTCAGGGAATGTGGCTCTGAAATCATATGCTTTACCCTATTTCAGAACTAGATTTTGCCCTAAGTTAGTATCGTCGCGTCGAGGCGGTATAAGAGGTCTGGAATGAGCTCTCCACTGGTTATTTCCTTCCTGAATCGGTCACTAACTCACAACACTATTGCTAGATCAAGAAAGCCGAAAGCGGGCTCATTCCGACCTCACTGACACCGCCCCGAGCGATTGTGGTGATATTCAGCTATACATTGGGTATTTTGTCTGTGCTTCAGTTCGTCTCCCATCCACATTGTCAGCAATTGCTCACTTCAATTTGGTATGAGGGTTTCCCGGGACGGCAACAACGTGGCTCTGCTTGGAATATCATCGTCTGTATAGCGTTGATCATCATTTTGTGGCTGTGTCATGCCATCTGTTATTATTGTGGTGGGAAGTTTTCCCACTCGGTTTTTTTTATCTAATGTGAGCGCCCTTTGTTGAAACACGATGTAACATATAGATATAATAAACATAGGATGCCAAATCACTGAGAAATGAAACAAATAACTAAAAGTAAAATAGTTATAATACTCGGATATTATCATTCTACTATATATAGCTTCGCTAAGTGTGTGTATCTATGTACACTCCTTATCCCTGAGACGGAGTAGGCGTGGCTTTTGAGCATGGCTAGGACGGGATTTCTCGTGGGATACATGATATGTTGAAAACAATGCTATCTTTGGTTTTTTCCCTGGTGTCAGATGTAGACAATGATTACTACAGCTCCAAAATGACAATATCTCATGAAAACCTGGGTCGCCGCCATTTTAGAATCAAGTACGCAGCCACGCCTACCCGATCTCAGGGATTTCGAGTATATATGTGTGTGTTTGTGTGTTGCTGTGTGTGTGTTGTGTGTGTGGCGTGCGTGTGTGGTGTCACAAAATATCTAGCGGACCGTCCCAGTAGCTGTGAGGAAGGTTGATTTCAGAATGTGATACAGGGCTGTTGACGGGACTTTATTGTGAGTGGTAGAGTAAGTGATATCAGCTGGATAATAATCCGAATAAGAGGCGTCAGAATTGCGGAGTGCTGACCAAGTCGTATAGATCGGTTACACGCAACAATTGTCGACGTTAGGAAGGCTCCAGTTTTTGCTCCTTTCTTGGACCTCTCCATTCTTCAAAGATTCTAGCAATTGCCGGCATCTAAAAGCAACCTTTCGGGGCGAAGGGAGGGGGGAGCGTAACACATCATTGTAACTAGTAAATGATAAAGCTTTCGGCGTAAACCAATGCCTCTTTGGGGTCCGAATGCATTCCACGTCAACTCAAAATTATATGGGCATTTTGATTACGATGAACGCCCACACACCATTAAGCGGATAGCTAAGCCTGATGTACAGTTATGGTTCTTGTTGGGGCTGATGCGCGCGGCGTGGATTGGACGCGCAGCCGGGATGCCACTCTCATCGAGGTGATGCATTCTGAGCCGCTTTCGAATTCGGTGGAAATACGCCTAGTTTGCGCCTTCCGAGCCGCGCAAGCGTCACACGCTATCTGTTTGCACGGCCGACATGAGCTGTAGCGAGTCCCTGTCTTCTATCCGTCCCGTTCAAGTTTTGTTAGCAGTAAGTAGCAGATGGATAACCGTGGCGGAATTCGATCGAGACTCGACTTAGCTCGGGAGCCGTTTTAAGTGGGCCACCTTGTTCGATATTTACAGCCTTGATCCCTTGTTTTACTTATTACTATCTATTATTACTGGTCACAAGTTTGCTATTATTATATATCATGCATATTATATTGTTTATATTAATTCGGCAACGAATATTAATGCACAAAAAGCTCTGGAATAAAACCTTGAACGCACGGTCCGCGATCAGGAATAGAGGTTGGGAACATGGCGTCGGAAAAGTAGTGTGGTCCGCGACGAACAACCTTGTACCGGTTTCGCGGCAAAAAATTGTATGGGAGCGCTATAGCGCAATATAGGTTCAGTGACGCCTCCTTTTCCAGTGACTCCGCCTCCAGACTCCGCCTTCAAGGCCCGCCTTTCAGTGAAAAACGAAGCTGCCGGACGAAAAAGCATGGAAATCGTTTGTACGGTGGTAGAGTTCTTATCAGCTGTGCAGCTGAGGGCGTAGGGTTGGAGATAGAGTATTGGGCACGTACAAAACGGGATCGAAATGGGGTTCTATCTAGGGCAGTTGGCATGTTTTTTTCTGCTTTTTTTCTTCACTATCGAGTTGCTCAGCACCTTGTCCTCCATATGCAAACCACTATTCCACTATCTGTGATGGAGAATGATCGCGGGTTTGCCTTTAAGACAGTGGGGAGAACTGCTGGAGGAGGGCGATTGTTGCCTCATTGGTGGAAGTGCTGCGAGAGAGCGTCCAACACCACCCACTCAGCCCTTCCAGCCCTTCCACCAATGACGACGGCGACTACCGCCCACCCCCAGCCCACTGCCTTCAAATAAAAATTTGTGCTTCAAGGGTTTCTTATAAAAGTGTTGCTTTTCGCTGTTCATTACTGAAATGTTGAAAACGTGAATTTTCACAAAGGTAGCAATAGATTTTCCCAATAGAAAGTTTGATGTACTTGCTGTACGAGATGCATTTATCGACATCGTAGAGTGAGGACATTTCAGCTCACTATCGATTTTAGCTCTACATGTTTTTATTTACTCCTTTGTTTAGATGCCAAAAAGCCGTATTGGACAAATCGTTCGGTCCCCATTCATGAAATTTCTCTACTATTCGATATCGTTCAGTTGTTTCCTACTTCTGCTTACTCTGGCTACATTTGAGAGCTATCGAAGTGAAAAAGGGGAACGAAAGGTTGGAAAGTTTTCTTCAACTTATATTTCCTTTACAAGGCAGCGTTCAGACTTCGCGATGGCAAGCGGCCTCGGCGCCACGTTCGGTGCAATCGATTCGCATGCTTTTGAACATGATCATCTCTTATCGAACGCGCGACAGACACGGCTGCGTTCGCGAAGTTCTGTGACGCTGCTTATCAATAAGCGTGCTGACCGAGACGGATACGCTAGTTCACCAAAAACTCATTGTTGCTACCTGGTGTTCTCACGCACGATCGCGCAGTGTTGAAGTAGAGACCCATTGCTGTTGGAAAATGAAAGATGTTAGCAAACCGAATCGCGTTCCCACGCTGCCTTTGAAATGCACTTCCGCGATAAGCGACTAGAGAAACGCATAGATTGTCCCTAACTCCGCCTCATACAATCGACGTTGACTAGTGCCATTTGACAACTCACGAATCCAAAGTATTGGGTTGGCTCATAAGTATCTGTCGCTTTTTTTTCAAACCGGAAATTTCGTATCACAAAAATGAAACGTTGCAGCAAGCTTGATATCACGTTGATAGAACTTCACGTAGTTTTAGAATATCAAAACGCTTGAATAATTTTGTGGATTTTTTAGTCGTTGAAGTTGAAAGCGAAGTCGGCGAAAATTAGCACCTTCGACAACTGCCTCTATTTACGTATAGTCGAAGTGCTAAAATCTAAGCTGCTCCATACATTTGACATTTTGGAAGCAGGTCACATTAGCGACAAAATTCAAATGTTATGCATAAAAAAATTCGTGGAGGAACGGGAACCCTAGTTCTCAACGACTTCGCGTTCCGTAATGATAACCTGAACTTAACAGAAAGCAAACACCTCTGGAGAACAGATTTCTATAGCAGTGTTATAGAGCACGAAATTTGAGGTGAAGGTTGGTAACTTCAAAATTCTTGAAATTCGTTCCAAAGCGTCCTAGTGAGATTCCCTTGCTGGAACTTCTAGCTCGACCTTTTCCAAATGTATGGAGCAGCTTAAGCGATTTTAGCACTTCGACTATACGTAATAAAGGCAAAGTGTGTCGAAGTGCTTAATTTTCGCATCGACTTCTCTTCATTTCAACTACTGAAAAATATACAAATTATCCCTCAACGCGAAGCCGCTTACTATCCTTACATTCTATAAAGCAAAAACTTGTGTGTCGGTTTGTCGGTATGTAGGTATGTATGTCGGTTTGTATGTCTGTCCGTCCGCAAAATGCTTTACGGGATTAAACACGTTAGTGAAAGAAGAAAACGACCGCTAGCCAAACCGGGAACCCATCGGTGCAGATGTATCAATCCAATGTTTTGATTGTGATAACAGCATATATAAGACAACCACTCGGTACACTCCGGAGCCATTGCACGAGCTGCTGCCGTGGCAGCTGGACGTGTGCTCGTGCGGGGGCAGGGTGGGGGTGCCAGGTCGCCCTGCCTTCTCCTGCATGTGCTCAGCCGGAGCTGAGCACATGTATTGGAGGGAGGCAGAGGGAAGGGGTCGCGGGGAGGGGGGGGGTACAGTGAGGGGTGCGTAGCGCGCGTTTCAGTAGAAACGCACACCAATGGATGAGGAAACAACCGCTAACAAAACTGTAAGCCAATCCATGTTACCGTAACGAACTAAGAAGTGTTTTGGTTGTGATAACACTCTCCACTATATAAGAAAACCACTACACTCCGAGCCATTGCACGGGTTGCTCGCGTGGCAGTTGGACGTAAGCGCGTGCAAAGGGCAAGGTGGAAGGGGGGGGGGGGGTGAAGTGGCCTACCGGTAATGGGGTGAGGTGAGGAAGGTTGAAGTTATAGGTTGTCGCGAAAGTTTCTTAAGCGTTTTGCGCACCTATCTTGTACATTCACTGCCTGGATAAAACTCATTCTGCCTTGCTTCTCAGTAGCACATCCTGTAGAGAATTTCTTGCGCTATCTGATGGTATAATTGCCGTTTCACCATTGCTTGATAAACCCTCTTTTTTCAAGATTTTTTCAAGCATGTGAAAAGAGCACTTCGGACGATTTTTTTCTTCGACTATAAATTGGGGCAATCCGCAATCGAAACAGCTCAACAAATTAACCAGGTGTGGGGGCCCAATAGTGCTAGAGAAAGCACTGTGCGGCAATGGCTCAACAAATTTCGTTCTGGAGATTTCAGCCTTGAAGGTGAACCTCATAGCGGTCGACCTAAAGCAATATCTGACGAGGATTTTAGGGGGATTTTGGAGGCTGACCCATCCCAAACAGTTCGAGAGATAGCAGAAGAGCTAGGCCTTGGCAAATCCACTGTTGCAGATGGTCTGGAACGCATTGGGAAGGTGAAAAAACTCGACAATTGGGTGCCCCACAATCGGAGTGACCGGCAGGAATCGGCACGTCTCGAGGTTCCTTCTTCACTGCTTTTGCGCAAAAGAATTGACCCGTTTTTGAACCGATTTGTCACCTGTGATGAAAAATGGATCATGTATGATAACAGGAGACGTTCCGGTTGGATTTGGAGGAACCACCGAGGTAATTTTCAAAGCCGAACCCTCACGAAAAAAAATTCTGGTCAGGTTT